AGGTTGTGCAGGGTTGGAATGCCTTCTCCTAAGGCTGTTGTGCATAGAAGGGAACTGCTGAGCAGTGGGAGATAGGAGTCAAAATGTGAACAAAGATCAGCATATACCTTGTACTGGAACAGGAGTCCTGCAGGTTCTTGTCCCTCTTCCAGTCTTCTGTACTTTATCACCTTACTAGATTAAAATGTAGAAATTTGCCTTAGAGGAGACCTAGAACATAGGTTCTTCCAGATAGCCCTTTTCTACCTTCCACAGTCTAACCACCAGTTATCCCCCCTCTCCTGTCATCTTTCAGTTACTGAATTTACACACAGAAGTGCAACTTCAGTGCATGGAGTGCCCCTCCAACAACATGAAAAAAGCTTATGACCTTAAAAGTCACGACAGGTGAAGACACTCTCCTAAGAAGGAGAAAAAAAGAACAACCCCACAGGCACAGTAGCTCATCAAATTTAGGCCTTGCATTTTCTGGATGAATGAGGAGAGAGAAATTGAGACAGACGGATCATCACCTTTGTGTGATGATCCTTCCTGCCGTGTTTGAAGAAAAGTAATTCTACTCGCTTATTTGGAACAAAAGTGGTAGGTGCTTACAGTGGGACTTAAGGCTGTAAGCTGATGGAGGTACCTTTTTTTTTTTTTTTCCCAGCTCCAAGTAACACATAGGGCTGTGATTGAAGAACGGCACTATAACTCACCCTGTCCTTAGCATTTCCTGCGGATCAGGTAGCTCTGGCTTGGTAGTTTCCACTTTACAAGGAAACTGAAAAGATCAAACGCTGACTTCTCAATTCATTCCAGTCCTGCAGTGGCTATAGGCTACAGAGTTTAGATGCCTGCACTTTTGACTGTTTCGAAGTCCTGCACTGAAACTCCTGCATTAAAGGATTATAACAAAAATAAGATTATAACATTGATCTCAAAAGCTTCCCAAATGCAGGCTTTTTTTTTTTTTTTTTTTTTTGTAATTAAGAGTTTAATTTCAATCATTTTAACTAACTTTTTTAGATATTAATTTAATCTAATATTGTTGAAAATTATATTACTGAAAAATCATCATGAAAGTTTTTCAGCAAAACACTACTAAGTGAAGGTACACTTTGCCATTTTGAGTTAGGTACAGCATTTCCCTAACCCACTGCTGTTAATCATTTCAAGTGTATGTTTACACGGCTGTTTTTGCCAACCCACTTTCAGCTGTCACCAGCCTCCACAGAAAAAATAATAAACACTGAGTACACCCACAAGGAGGTAACAGAGTGGGTTAGATGCACAGAGATGTCTGAAGTTCCAAGATCATAAAACCATATAGCCTTCCTAATTTTTCCCAAACATATCATAATGTAGTCCAACAGAAACATACAGTGTCGATTTTCAGGTGCAAATTTTATTGTGGGTCATAACAAAAGTTTCACGAAAAAGCACAAGAAAAAAAAAATCAGTGATGGAGTGTCTCTTATTTACACAGTACATAAAATTCTGTGAAAGCTATCAACTCTGCAGCTAAAGGCAAGGCAGGCTAATTTTGATTAAGCAGTATTTTCAGATATGTACTTTAAGTAATTTTGCAAATCTTTATTGTGTTGGGGGTTTTTAATGAGTTTGATCTTGAAATTTAGAATCAAATATTTAAATGACACAGTGTTTTAATGTGTAATATAATAAAAACCCTCTTAGTTTTTAAATAGAAATAGACGCTAAGATTGTGTCATCAAAATACAAAAGATTAGCCCTAGTAAATGGTTAATGAATCAAAATTTCTTTAGAAAAATCTGTGGATGCTAAGGTATGTATAATTTTGGTGCCACTCTACTTGTAACAGACTATGTGATACTTAAAATTAGTTTAAAATAGTATTTTTTAAGCTTCTAAAAAGGATTTCTTCTACCTTTAAGCATACATCAGGTGTAAAGAGAAAATCCACACTAATCCTCATAGTAAAATGACAGAAGTCTGCTTGGTTACAGGGAGGAAAATCTTGCACGAGGCCTCCAAGGCACTGTTGTTTTTTGAGTTCTTGTCAAACACACAGGCAACGCATGAAGACCGATTTGATAGGACAAGAATTAAAAAAGTAAATCTAAAGTTAATATATAGTATATTAAATATAATATCTTTCTCTCTAATGAAAAAAACATTTTTAGAAGCCACTCTGATTTACAGCTTTGCATTTTGGCAAAAAGTGTTTGCTAAATTAGAAATACAAGTTTTAAAGCATATTTTTTGAAAATGAGTATAAAAAAAGGTCAACCAAGTAGTATTTCTCTCAGTTCGTGTAGTTTGCTTGAATGTAAACCATACACAAATACCGTAAGCCTCTGTAAAAAAGAAGGGACCAAATGCTCTGTTGATGACATGCTATTGGTTTACATGGAGATATGCCAACAAGCAACTTGGTCCAGAGTCAACAGACATAGATTAGGACCTTATCCAGCATTTGTCAGTCCATTCAAGTCTCTGAACTTTGTGACTGCAAGGGCTCTTGTTTCCCCTGTAACTGGGAGATATCTCCAGACAATGAAATAGCTCAGACTAGGTATTCTGTGCTCATCTGTTTCAGTAACAGACAAGTGGAGTCCATAACTCCCTCTGAATTACAGAGTAAAAGAATTACGTGCTTGATGTGTGTGTGTCAGGTGAAACCATGCAAGGATTCCTTTGGCACCTTTTCCTGTTCTTTAAGGCAACTAAATGCCAGTGAGCTGGGAAAGAAATTTGAAAGGAGCTGACCTTAAGTTACTAGGATTTTAGATAACTATTTTGACAATCTCTGTTTGACATACTACAAAAAATTGTAGCTCCTCTTTGGAAAAAAAAATGCATGTGGTTGACAATCTCCTGGGTTCTGTCACCAGAGAGAAGATGCCTGTGTCCACCAGAGTTTGATACCACACAGCTACTACAGCAAATGGATGGACTGGAAGTCACAGAAGCAGAGAACACTCTGTTTGTTTAAAAGTTTCATAATGCCCTGATGGCAGAAATGTTTTTTGTCACTTTGCCTTTCATGCCAAGCCTCTGCCAGGCTTCTGTGGGCTCAGCAACCTGTGGGCCTCCATGAGACGGAACACCCCATAGAAACATATTGTTTTGTTGGGTCATACCCTGAGATCATCATGAGATCTTAAGGCAGTGGCCTGGGTTTGTGTCATTTGGCTTTAGGAACCAGGCAAAGCATAAAGAGAGCAGCCTCAAGATTAGAGGCTGCCTCTGCAGCCAGAGAAGGAACAGGCCTCTCCAGGTAGTGTTCAGATCTAATTTTGCGGGCTAAATCCATTGATTTTGATATTATTTACAGTAATTATAAATAAGACCAAGATTGACCTGAAACATAAACAATTTCTACCCTAATAGAAACAGGGAGGCAAATTCTGCATTCAGCCATACATTCATATACACTGTTGTGTATATGATAAAAGCATCCTATGTGTCAGCAGAATTTGCCCCAGCTAAGATTACATTTCATTTCCCTGAAGGAAGCCAACGGCCTATATGGAGTATTGAAGAGCAAACTTTCTACAGTATTATTCTATATTTCTATAATATTCTATATCAAAGCAATAAATATAAGATAGAATCTGTATATTAGTTTTTGTATTTATCTGATAGCTTGTTAAATCTGTACTGTCAAAAATATAAGCAGTGATCCATTCCTACATGGCAGGATATACTACTGTTTGTGTGTAGGTGTTAAAACTAAACTATGACATGGGTTTATATTTAGATATAATGCTTTTGTTTTTATAGCAGATTTGAATTTACATTAATTCCACGGGGCACTGCACTTTAGCACAAGTATTTCATTATTCTGTCTCATCTTTATGTTTTTTAAAGATGGAAAATGGAGCCTGACAGACTTCAGTAATTCTGTAGCTGTAGTAGTAATTCTGTACAGAATTCAGTAACTTCCGATAATGTCAGATTCATTTAGTACAGGCATATGTACTTTCAGGCCCAAGCAAAAACCCAGTTTCACTGTTCCTAACCATTTTCCTTTACCTGAATAACTCTCTTTAAGAAAAGCACACTCCTGAATAGGACATTCAAAATATCTTGGCACTGCTGATGAGATGTGAAAAAGCATTTCAGCTGAGTATGATCTGCAGAAAAATTACCACACATTTGTTAATGAACTATTACAATTACTGAAGTTTAGGTTTGCAAATGATCAGCTTAAAAGCAAAATGTTAGAACAATCTGATATTGTTGCTGGGATATACACAAGAAGTTTTGTCTCACAATTTGCTTAAAAAATGCTTGGTGAATTCCTAATATTTAGCTTCTCGAAAACATCAATAATATAATAGACTAATGAAAAATATGCTTATTTTCACTGAGATCAAAATGTCCAGTCATTTAGCTAAGGTAAGTAACTGTTCTTTTGTGCACCCCTAACTTGAGAAGTTCAGTTAAAAATATAGAGGAATCCAACATTTTAATGAAGGTATTTAGAACATATATAATAATACAAATATTGATTTCTGGATTCAGTGGACATTCAGGTTTATTGTCTTTTGAATTAATATTGACCTTTCTTTTGCTAAGGCTGATATTTATTTCTCAGGAGAATAATTACTATAGCCCCCTCCAGCAGAAGTCATTATCTACTTATTTCACATCAGTTAGTGTTCAAAGACAGAATGTAATTACTTGCCTTCACTCTACTTATGTTTTACTCAATATTTATACATTAAAAATTTACAACTGAAAAAAAAAAACCTGAACATTTGAAAAAATATATAAGCAAGGTCAAGACAGATGCTGACAGACTGCTTTCTCGTTCATCTATCATAATCAGAAGACTATTCAAAATTCTCTTTCCTGCACTAAACAGCCAAAAGATTTCTAAATAATCCCCTAATTTCTTCCTAATGACTTTTTCCCTTACTCTAACTCAGGAGCCCAAGAATCTGTGGCTGGAATAAAAACTTCTTTTAGAAAGCTATCTAACAGTAGCATCAAGACCTCTAGCAAATGATTAACTTACTCCTCAACTTATGCCACTGTAGTGTCTGATGATTTACACTCGTGCCAGACAGCCTCTATCAGGCTTCTTTATGGAAGCATGACTGGTGCTTGGTATTTGTCTGACGCAGAATCAGTTCCCAGTTCTGTTGTGTGGCTTTGTTAAAACTGAAACCAAAAAGATCACAGCTTTTACTTGGTCAAGATAAGCACAAAAGTTCTCCTCTTAGATCATAAAATGATCAAAGAAGCTTAAACTTTAACCGAGTCTTTACAGATGGGAGTAGCTTTGACCTAAAAGCAGTGTATATGAAATGCTAAAGGATATTTTTCTGAAAAATCTCTTTTTTTTAGTGTTGGATATTATACAGAAATATACATTCATCATAAAACCAAAGTGACAGACTCGAAATCCCATTTAGTAATGAATCTAAACTGGCATCTTGCCAATAAACTACTAATAAGGAAAAGAGGCTACTCTCTTGCTTTCTAATACTATGCCAATAATACAAACATTATAAGGAAACTGCATTATAGAGTTTTTGAGATATGTACTTTGCAGAAAATATCTCTTCATTGGACAAAACTAAGTGAACAATCTTAAAAGTGTGCTTATGGTGAATGCTCAAAAATATATATTTAAAGCACAGCATCACATAATAGTAAGTCTGAAGAACTAAATAGTCTCTTCAGTTTGTACCCATAAAATTCCAGTCTAACAGCACTGGAAATACAAAATAATCAGGCTAAGTGCTTGAGAAAGTCCTTTCTCATTAGGTGTGATGTGAACAAGAGTATTGAACTGCTTCTCTTCTGTTCTCACAAACAGAAAATAATCTTCCTCTCCCTAGATTAGAAAAAAAATACATGTAAAATATTAAAATAGACATTCAAAACAGAAGTTTCCTATGGTTGATTTCAAAGTCTGATATAAATTAAAGCGATTAAATCTTTTTGATTGCTTTTCTTTTCACATACTGCAGAACAGCATGAAGACTGAGAGATTATTGAGACAGCGATTCTTGCCGAAAATACCCAGGTAGATTCCTCTAAACCTCTTTCTTCATATTTTAGATCAGTTTTACACAGCCTTAATTGTAAATTTACTATGAAAATACTAGTGCAAGAATAATCAATTAAAAATTCTTCAGATAAATGCTTCAGTTCCTTTTAGGTTAAAGATGCACAGGAATACCGACGAAAAATATGCTATGATGATGCTTTCTTTGTTAACTCTCCTTTGGTGTCCCAAATCAATTCTTCACTCCACATTCCTGTACTTGGTGAATAAATTGTACAGTACTCTCAGTGTAGACTTCAAATCACAATTTACAATATCTAGGAAAAAAAAATGTAAAAACCTATTAGTAACTCCATAGGCCCAATACATTTGCAGATAAAGTGTCCATTTTTCTCTCCCTTTCATTGCTCAGATGCAGATTCATAAGCATTACAACCACAGATAGTAATAAAGAGTAGAAATAAAGAGGACAGTTTTTAAACTCAATCAACTCAACCATATGTTTTTCAAAGACTTGTAGTTAAGGATACAAATTACTGTTGGTACTGAAGTAGAAATGTAACCAATGTAACCAAGGTTTAGATCCCTACAGGGGATAAATTGTACACAGGGTCACATATATTTACAAAACTGAATCTTCAGGTGATTGTGGCTGAAAACTAACGGTTTTGAAAAATCAGCTGGCAGCAACTAGTGAAATTCTTCTCCTGTGTAAGGACTGCGGCGCATGGCCCATTCTGAGCTACAACTTCCTTTTCTAGGCGTAATTTCAGCAAGATATTTGCTAAGCCAAGCTTACTTTTTCTAAAGGATCTAAAAATGTGCAGATGGCCCAGAAGATATTTCTGAAAATTATTTTAGTTAGCTGATGTACATGGCTGAGTCCTTAGACAGTCAATATCTCAAGTAAAGGATTTCTGAGTAAGAAAAAGCTAACGAATACCTGCTGTTTCCAAGAGAAGTTGTAGAGAAAGTCAATATTATTTTACAAGAAATCTTTAAAACAAATTGACATGAAATACTGCAGGAGTATATGTTAGTGCATCAGAGAATATTCACACCACTTCAAGCAGCGCCTTTGCATTGCCCATCAGAAAGGCTCCATTTCTCTCTCTCTCTCTCTCTCGACTGTACAGGAACTTAATCTCATATTTTGGTCTTTGGAATTGAGCATGAAGAAGTGAAGCAGATGGTGTGCAAGTGCTCTTATCATCTTCAGATACAAGTAAACCTAGCAAATTGTATAATTACCAAGTAGTTTTGCCATTATATTTATCTACACTAACGTCTTAGTTTACTGTGTCTAAGTGGAAAAGCTACAGGAAGGGCATATTGCCCCACACCATTTTCCTGTACCTTGCAAATCTGTTGCATAAGTCTAAGCAAGTTTCCTCTTTCTTGTCAGTAGCGAGTCACACATCTCCCTCATTTCCAAATAGATAAATTTGATAGTCTTTGCAAGGTTATTGTAAGATGCCACTATGAAAACAGAACTCAAGAGAAAGCACTATACTAAAAAGAGGCATAATTCCAAAGAAAGAAGAGACATTTCCTTTGCTATATTATGTTCAATTAACATGTATAAAGTTTTACTATTTGCAATTTTGAAAAAGAGAAACTTCATTCTGTTTTGATGTACGTGTTTCAAGAAGTTATTTGAAAGAGCTCAAACTGCAAATGAATTCATTATAGACTTAGTAGATTCATGTTCTGGACACTTAAAGTAAAAGGTCATAGAAAGCTTTTTAAAACATTTTCAATTATATTGTAAATAATCCAAATAAACTGTTGACCTCATAAAAACCATTAGTTTTCATATTTATTTAACCACATTTTCTTTTGCATTAAATATGTTTTTCATATTCTGAAACACTTTTCAGTGTTTTTTTCCTCAAGAACATCAAAGAAATAGCACAGGAATTTAAAGAGTATTTAGCATACACATTTAGAGTAAGATCCTTTTCAATACTCTTTTGCTCACTGGAAATTTTAAGTATGGGCATTGTGCCCAATGTAACAACACATAAACCAGATGTGTTTTTCCATTCACATTGAGCAGGAAGTTTCATATTAAGTATTTCAATAATTGCACAAGAAATGTCTTATATATGCTGAAATATCCTTATGGCTTGATTTATACTGGAAAAATTAGCTGTCCCCTTGAGCAATAAATACCTGAAAAATTAAATGCCATAAGAATTTTAAACCTCCATGGGGAGTAAGGGGTCACAGATATTCTCTGTTTTACTTGGATCCCTAGATTTCAGTATTTCCCCGTTCTCTCTTTGACTACTTCAAACACAAAAGTTAGTGATAGAAATACCATTGATGTAGTTAACACAGGGCTGTGGATAAAAGCTCAAGCCACCAAAAGTAGTAAAAAAGGAGGTTGACTAAATCCAAATTAAAGACACAGGCAGTGTAGGTTGAGTCCTGAGACCTGTGGTCCCACCAGGCCTGGGTTTCTCATTTTTGTTTTGCTTTTGAAGTATATCTGTTGCCGTTATGATTTGGAGGTTCGGAGGGATGGAAAAGGAACAGAACAGTGCAAAACTTGACTCAAAGATGTGAGCCTGAATCTCCAGAGAAACTAATCCAGAGGATTAGGAGTAATGTTCTAAGCATTAGCTTCATATTGACAGCATATTTCCTCCAAGTCCTCAGGAGGAGGACAATCCTTGACAATCAAGTCAGTATTATGGTGGGAAAGGTCTGTGATTCTGCAATCAGTCTTGGAAACTCAAATAGATTGATTATTATGGTGGGTAATATATGATGGGTAATAAGGCGAAGCCCAGCTACTAATTCTGCTGGGAAGAAGCTGTAAATCCAGTTGCTGCATGGTGAGCAGCAGTAACCTCTCATGAGAGGAATCACAAGAGCGACCCATGAACAGCATGGTGAATCAATGTCTTGTAACCAGTGTTTAATCAAACAAACTCTTCTATGGCTATGCAAGTCAGGAAGCTTCACAACATTTGAAGCAGTCTATCAATCTTGCCAAACACAGAGTATCTAAGCACTTCCAAATGTATCTTGTCTTTCTGTGTTGGATTGCCCTTCAACCTTCATCTTATTCTGCCTAGATCTCAATAAACCCTAAAGTTTTCAGGAGATAGAAAAAAAGTGAAATATATACCTTCTGGTCTTGGCTTTGGTTTTTCCAATCCACCATCTTGCATTAGCTCAAATGCAAAGGATACATTAAGGACCTAGTAATATAATAAAGACAGTCATTATCAACTATATGCAATACAGCATAAGTTGTCAGAACAACTTGTGGTTAAAGCTACAGACTCAGAAACTTAGAAGAAGAACGTAAATAGAGCTCTGTCTATAAAGGGAAGATCTAGTCCATGGAATCTAGACAATCCATTGCGGATTGTCATCTTTTTTCCTGGGTGGTGAAGGTGGTACTGCTGGACATTTTTGTTTATTTGTTTTCAAGAGAAAAATTAAATCCAATTACCTTTTGCTCAAAACTATCAGGAGTCAAAAAAAAGCTGTGTAGAGGAACAAAATAGCCTTCAAGGAGACCCATCAGCAGGACTAAGTACACACCATCTGCAAACTGTAAAAAAGACATTTTTCACTACACTGTCTGAATGAAAACTCATTGCTGTATTGAGCAAAACACATATTGTCTAATGCAAAACAGTCAATAAACTATCAATACAAATATTTTAAACTGCATCCATACATTTTATTTAGTTAGTACGCTGTGTTGTGCCCTAACCAAAACTAACCTCATGCTAAAATACACACGCAGAATAAAGTTCCTGGAAAGACAGGTGGACTGAAAGCACCCTTGCTTTTATTTATATCTGCTTAGTTGTAGGGAATCAGAACAGGCACCTTTCCAGTCATCAACATCTTTTACTCCCAGAGGTGAGAAAAGCAGAATGATGGTGCAATTTTGCAACTGCACTATAATTCAGCATGTTGAAAGAAATAAAGGAACAAGGAGTTCCTTTGTTCCATGGTCTCCCATGTTCCACAAGTCTGTGTCAGTCTAAATTTCAGTATATGCGATCACAAATGGAAGATAACTAATCGCTATGATGCATGCATAGTTCAGTCTGAAAAACAGCAACATACACGGATATTTTGTAAATAGTGTCTCACTCATTTCTATGGCATCAGGTCTCTCAGCGCACTGATAGACCTCACAGGCCCACTCTGTTCATCCATTTCTTTGGGTTATCTGAAGCAACTCATCATCTCTTTGAAGTAGCTCATTTTCTCTCTACCAATAAATACAACTAATCTATCATCTTAGCAAATGCTGTTTTGGATAAATGATTAAGTACTTTCTAGCCACATTTAAACATGTGGATTTTTTTTTAAGTAAACAATGTAGTAAGTGTCTAAGTCTTAATTTTACCTTTGAAAAAATCTCTTTATATTGGCTGCATAGCTACTCAAATAACCCAAAGTTATACACTTGAGTACTATACACTTGAGTAGCTTTAGTCTCATGGACCTCTCTCACTGAAAAAGTCATTGGAATCCCATGAGAATATTGTTTCTGTAAAAGTAGGCAGGAAACAACTATTTAACTTGAAGCTGGACCAAACCAAGTGCACAGTTCTTTCCTGACAAAGACTGGCACAAAGTCTTCTTACAGCACTTAGTAACATAAAGAAGTAGCATCAGTTAATTATGCCAATGAAAGTACACAAGTCTTCTAGAGAAATGCAATCGCCCTTTTGATATCTTTGCTTAACAGGTGAAGTTTTCTTCTAATGAACCTAGTTAGAATCAAAGGGTTTTCAGCTGAAATAGCAACGTAACCAACCTAACTGATCATTGCTACTAATTCCATTGTATTTCTGGAAAAATGTGGGACCATAGCGTTTAACACAGTACAGCTATTTAAGCCCTTTAAGCAAGGCTATAAAACTCTACCTGGGTCTCCAGTTCAGTGACCTCCAAATTCAATTTGTTGAGATGCTTGTTCACAAATGTGATGAGAGTCTGAAACATGAGAACAAGTTAGTCCATATAGTATAAACTCCAGTCAGAAGAGAATCTGCACAAGAGTCTGCATACTACTCTTAAAACTGGAATGTGACATTTTAAAAATTCCTGTTTTTTAGAATGAAGAACAGAAATACAATAAGCATGATGCAAATACATAAAAAAATGTTAAAAACAATAATTCTTTTTAAAAAAGCTAGTAGCAGACTGTAGAGAACTAGGTAATTGGACTCTGCTCAAATCTGACAGCAGCCAGAATACTCAAGGTGTAATACCCTTGGCAGTAGTCAAATCGATACCTCTTTGATATGAATAAACTAAATCTACCAGTTCAGTTCTATTCAGCATATATTATATGAGAACTTCTTTATGATGGAAATTATGACAATTACATCTTGTTCTGTGTTCCAAAGTTAAGTTCATGCTGGTAACCATAAAAAAGTAACATTATCATGGATAGGGTATTTTAAAAATAAAAACCTTCTAACCTTTTTCACAACATTGAGCTTGTCAGGAGCATGGTCAAATAAAGTGTCAAATGCATCTCGTTCTGAAAAACCATTTGGAGATGTTAATATACTGCGCAGCAGTTTTCTGACTGCATAATAAACACTTATTAAAGACACAGTTGTTGAAGACAGAGTCAGCAAAAGGTTTCAGTATATTCTTTTCCAAGTACTGTATATTTTGCACTTTTTTTTTCTTGTCATAAGCTGTTATTATTCTCTATTTAATTTGCAGAAAGCATCATTTTCCATAGGATTCAGAGTAACTCTGCTTTTCAAAAAAATAGCAAATAAACAATAACAAATAAAAAATAACAAATACAAGTATTTCAGTACATAAAACTTTAAACAGTCAGATACAGAGAGCTAGGAAACCAAATAATTTTTTCTGCACAAGAACATGAATTTACCTCTACAAAAATTTTCCCCGTGGGCCACAGTATGCATGTAATGATGAGCTGACAGCATTTATAGTTAGCTATACTGTAACTAGCAGTGGTAAGACCTCTACATTAGTACTATCTTCTAAAGAGAAGAAAAAAAAACAAAATAAAACAAAAAACACTCTAGCTCCAAATTTCCATTTGAAAATTGCTCAGAGTGATACAGAGTCTCCTGAGTGCTACAGAGTGATTCCACAAAAAGCCATGCTTATATTCATCAATAAAAATTGTTGATGTAGATTCAAGGGCATTTGTAGAAGACCTATTACACAAAGCAAGACTCTGCTCATCAGGTGTAAGACAATTATTCCAATTAAATTATTAGCAAATGCTCAATTCTTGGTAGGATCCTGCCCAAGTTCCTCAGGCCAATGTTTTCTGTTGGCCAGGCATTTAGCCTGGCTCAGTATTGGACAATAAGCAGTAACTAGCCATGGGAACTTGCATTGAAACTGGAACTGCTTAAAAATGACCCAAATTCAATATGGTGTAAGCAGGCAATGTATGCAAAAATGGCAACAAGTTTATCAGCTGATTTATCATAATACATGATTTTGTATTATAGAGGGAACTGCTGACCGTTAATGCTATTACAGTAATGTTCTGGAGGTTAAACAAAACAAGGGCCTGCAACTTAACACGTACTGAAAAGCACTGACAAACGTTTTAGAGATGGCAAGACTGATTTGATGCTTTCCTCCTTGTGTTAAGTACCATAAGAGTCTGCTGTAGACATATTTTATACATGTGTACATGTATATTTTTTCATATACTTTTTTTCATATGAACACACACTATATTTATGTATATGCCAGGAAAAATAAAAATCTTCTCTTTCCTTGCAGTGTGATCAAAGTGTCTAGCCATACAAGAACTGATGTATACTTCGGCTGCCTGAAGAAAAAGATAATAAGCAAATGAACTTACCATGCCTTCCTGATAATGCCCTATAAAACAACAACAACAAAAAAAAAAAAAAAAAAAAAAAAAAAAAAAAAAAAGGAAAACCAGTTATATGTAATTCACTTACATACATTGTGCTGCTAAAGAAAACAGCATATGTGGCCAGATCTTTGGCTTGGTGAAAACTGGACTAGACCCATGGAATTAAAAGAACATTCAGCAAGTTGTTCTAACTGAGAATCTGAATTAGTCTCGACTCAGTCAGCATAATATCTCTTGGCTTCACTGAAGTCTCATGGTGAGATCACATCTCAAATTTCCTACTGTTGAACCAAATCAACATACCTTGCCTGTGGAAAAAGGGCTTTTTCATGTTTATTTTATGAAAACTTTTTCCATTTGTAGTTTCCACATCAACTGCAAAACAATTCCAGTCAAAACAATGCTTGGACTAAGTTCTGAAAAATTGCAGTGCTTTGCTCCGCTTGATACCTCATATAAATGTTACATATAAGTAAATCCATAAAGACTAATAAGTCAATCATCCAAACTCTCTAGAATATTCCACTTTTGCTTTCTGTTGGTTTTGAAATAACTTTTCCTTTATAAATTGCCCAGTAAGATGGTATGTACAAGGCTTAACTACTGTCACTTTCCATCTCCAAAATCCAAATGGCTAACAAAATACTAGTTGTATTGTATTCCCTTCTGAAATAATCTAGTTGTTATCAAATAAATTTCAACATAAAAGAGTAGGACATATCATTCTGGTTTGTTTAAAGGACTTTTGAATACAATATAGTGTGTATGTTACTTGAAATGTTGCAAAATAAATTTCGTTACAGAAAACATTTGTTTTCTATGTTTCATGTTTTCTATGTTTCAAAAACATAGAAAATTTTCTATGTTTTTCATGTCTTCTCATTTATCCTGTTGGTCTCCTGCTTTTAGTTTCTCAGTTCCGCATTTCCTAAACCTCTTTTTTTTTATTATTTTTAGAAGCATGTTTGCAGCTCTTGCAAATGCTAAAATATAATCACTGACTGATGCATCATTTTCCCTGGAACCCCAATACCAAAAATCTAAATATCAGCAAATGGTTGAATTTCTGAGATGCATCTGTGTTCAATTATTGAACTGCTGGCAGGAGTGGTGTTGACATACTCAGTGTTACCAGTTATTTCCTCTTGGATTTGTCGAGACTGGAGGATTCCTTCTCGTTTCTGGAAAAAATAAAAAGTGACATTTTTCTCAGTAAAGTTCACTATGGTATGATCATGGTAAAATTTTTGATCTACACATTTAATAAGATTATGTATGTTTTACTGTATGTTTTACTGTAACATACTTTTTCACCACGCAAACATTTTAGAAAGCTCTACTGTATAATAACAAGAAACATGAAACTCCACCTGTACAAGGAAGTATTTCTTTCTATTGTTCTTGACTGACTTGTCTTTCAAAAGGCCCATTTCAGCAAGACATTTGAAACACCTAAGCACATATGTAAGTGTTTTAGTAGAGGTATGTCTTGGTGGGTCAAACTAAGCCTTGTATTTCAATGAACAGCAACGCTGATGGTGCCAAGGTTTCATCTTTGGCAAATCTGTCCTTCTCCCACCCTGGCTAGCTGTTCTGTCTGTACTGTTCATGCACATCGTTTTCTGCCTCAGCCATTCTGGTTTTCTTTTTGCTTCTCTCCACATAGAGGGCTAAATTGATTGTGAAGGAAAACAGAAAAGGAAGATAATCCATTCACAGTCTGATCCAGACTCCAGCCCTGTTGCTGGTTATATATCAATTGACGCCAATGTCCTCTTGATACAAGAAATCTCTTGTATGTGAAGGTTAGTGGCCTGTGCCTAGAAGCAGTACATAAAATGGCAGGAGCCAACTCAAATGGTCACCACTTGAGTCAGCTGGGTAATAAAAAAGCAGAAGCAGCTGCTTCCAGCATGCAGATCACAGTCATCTGCTGGTGGTGTGCGTTCTGCACATGTTTTGACTCTCTCTGTGTTCTCTCTGCTAATTCTGTTCACTGGGATTAGTGAAATTTTGCAATACAGACAGGAAAGTAAGGCAAATGCTGATGACTGCATGTAAAGTCTAGACAGTAGACAATTATTCAAGACTTTCATTCCTTGTTATATAAGAAAATGAAAAAGATATATTCATGCTGGTCTTAGACGTGCCTTCTACATGGGAGAGAGAAAAGTAACTTTTTGGAAGAGTCCTTAATGCAAACAACTTTTTCAATTTTTTCTATAAAAAGGAAGGTTAAAGACCAGATGGCTCCTGCCCCGGTGATGAGGCCCATGAACTGGGCTGCTGTATTTTCCTGCCTTGAAAAAGATTACACATCTCCTTGAGCAGATGCAGGCCTGGGTTTAGAGGTGCATGATGGTCTGACAATTTGTCTTGGCTAAAACTATTCTATACTACATCAATAAAATATGAGGATCAAACTTACTTTCTATAGGAAAGCCACAAGGAACCTTCTGAGTCACTCCAGTCTGGCACTGGATTTATCCAAGACCTTCCTTTCAGCTAAATGATAATCGGGATGAGGCATGGGAGATATTCCTCTACATTTGTTACAAACCTGTTACTAAATACCTTGCATATTGCTAAACATTTGTTAATTTCCTAACTTTTTTTTACAGCAGTAGTGCACCCAAGAAAGACTGTTCCAATGCTCAAAAATTCTAAATCCATCCTGGCCACTCTGCAAATGCACATAAATTATTATGTGCTCTCACTCCTAGCTCTAGTACACAAGCAATTTATCATTTAACTGTTTTTGTACAGTACCAAACAAAAAAGAGGTAAAATGATGGCCAGATCCAGCTCTCCACAAAAGCTCATTGATTTCAGTACAAATTATCAAATAGAGCACAAGCTTTGTTTAAGGTTATTTAATCTGTCAGTATGGAAGAAAAGCAAAGTCACATAACAAAGTAACCACAAAAGGTCCAAGTATCTCAAATCCTCCCAACTCAGCTTATAACCCAGACTTCATACGACTCCCATCATTAACTGCCAAAGGCAACATAAGCTTTCATGAGAAGCATGTTGGTTACTTGCTGGGGATGACAAATGTTTTATCAATATCTTTGCTCAATAAACTCTACATAACCAACACTGCAACCCTCACATATTTCATGTGTTTTTAACCCTAACAAAATTCTGCAACATATTAAGGTAGTCTTCCTGTACTTCATGCTTTGATTTTTCTCTCCCCTATTACTACTTCTCTCTCTAACAAATCCTACGCAGGAGAATGTAAAGGTAGATACCACATAAGTCTATTGAGCCTCTCTAGGCATGGTGTTACTGTATAGAGTCTATCAGGCAGGGTTTGAAATACCAGCCTTGCAAGCTTAAGCACTAAACTAGGCTTTTGGTTCTGCTGATTGCCGATTAAAACTTGCTTTGAGTTCAAAGAGTACATGATGAATAATACAGAAACAGTCCCACAGGATATCAAAGACTGATTTATTTATGTATTTTAGGAGGGAAAAAAAAAAGCTCTATAAAATAAAAATAAAAATGTCTTAAATACAATTACAGTAAGAATACCAGCCCCTACTCTCAGTTAATGGGAATCAGCATAGTCGTGGAGTTCCACTGATTGGCTTTCAGCAAGGATTTGAGTCTGCAGAGCGAAATCTTCTGCAACATTACTTAGATTTTCTTCTGGTGCAACTGCTTTCCCTGCACTATACTGGCGCCTGAGCTACAGCTGTGTAGCTAAGAGGCAAAACAGTGAGCCAGATTCTCCCACTACTTATTGTTTTTAAATTGGTTTATCTTTACCGACTTCAGTGGATTTGCTGTTGAACTACATTAGCCTATTAAATGAGAATTATGTCCATTGACTTCAATGGGAATTCTGTCTGAATGTAGAGAGAGACAGCAGAATGCAAGATGTGGGGTTTTTTTTAATGTACACATTCCTCTTTTTTGTTTAACTATTTTTTCTTTCTTTCTTTTCTCCCCAAAGGTGCCCTGACTGCTGCAGTTTTGACTTTTTAGGCTGATTTTGGTAGAGCTTTGAGGAAAAAATGAGCATGATTAATATATTTCTATTATCGAAAAGAAATTGCTTGGAAATAAATTTTGTCTGAAGCCCTAGGCAAGTTAAGTACAGACCCGCTGGGGTTCTCTTTCATCTCTATCCCATGTGCACAAACCCACCAAGGGAAATTTGAGAGTCAAGGAATTGGATATCAGGCTTTGGAGATGCATCTAGGAGACTGAGACTCTCCTTCAAATTTCTCTCACAACAAGTTACCTAAGTCCCACACTTGTCTGATGTGAACACTAGAAAAGAGTGGTTAGTTTCTGAGATCTGCCTCACAGATTTTCAATCATATACAACCTGAGTAACAGCTCTTACCAGCAGATACTTCAGGGCTGCTTTGGTTAAAAGACAAAAATAGACAAGAAAAAAAAGAGAACTGCAGTGTGAAAAATAAAAGCTGAGTTAGTTACAGTGTGAAAAATGAAGGCAGAGTTTGTTGGAGAGAAAGAAAAACAAATTAAATGGGAGGAGAATAAACAAGATAAAGCAAACAAATCCAACTGAAAGAAAAACAACAAACAGAATAGCATGAAAAACTTAGATAGATGAGACTCTAAAAAGGACACTGGCAAAAAAAATTTTTTTTTTTGCATGCTTATGAGAAAGCCAACACTGTAATCTAAATTAGCACGCATAAGGCTGAAAGAACATTTAGTCACCTAACGTGAATGTGAACACAATAAGCAGTGACAATTCATTACTCAGTGCCAAGGATGACTTGAATCTACACAAGTGAGAAGATCGTGAAAAATAATCATTTTAGAGATTATACTGGCTGTTAAATAAATACATTACAATAATAACAATGCTTCAAATATTATAACAATATGCTTCACATATTTTTAATGTTAATCTGCCCACTTCTCTATCAAAGTAGGACAGTCAGCTCAAACTACGAGAGCACTTCTGCCTTTTTCAGGTTGACGTGTACATGTGTGTTACTGGTGAGCCAAAAAGAGAGACATATGCATGAGCAAACACCAACTCTGTCAGGAGCTGTTCAACACCTCTTACCTGCACAACGACAACCTGAATGGACACATGATCTGGGAGTCTGATTGGAGCTCGAAAATACTGTGACAGTGCAACCAGAAGATGAAGTATTGCCACAAGACTTTTAGCATGAATAGCTGAAATAGATAGCAAAAGCACAGGTTACAAAATGCAAATTAACTGGAGAAAATATTTTTGATTTTCAGGATACAGAGGGTTATAGGACTTTTATCCTCTTGCTGACAGAAGCCAGAGGGCATTTTCAGGCACTTTTCCTTTATGTGTCTTCTCCTGCTTAGCAGCTCATGTGAATGTAGCTCATTAAATAATGGGTGTCAGTACCACAATGTTAGGTTTTGCAACATGTCTGGATGCCTTAGGTTTGCGCAGATGGAAAGCTAAACCTAATGCAAAAGCCAGATTTCACGTACAGCAGCTTGAAGTCTAGGCACTCTCCTTGCTGTTCCCTTATTTCTTTTATTTCAATAAGGATTTATGGACTATCAGAAAGATATTTTTGTATTCATAACATGCACTTATTCATTTTTAAGTGTCACAATGTCTGCAGGATGATAAACGAGCCTATTTTGGCAGAAGCCTTAAGCAATAACTTACTAAACTCAATGACTCAAACATTCCTCATCAACTTGTTATAGTTCTTGTTATTGAAGCTTTTTCACAGACGGATTCATATGGGTATTTAACACTAACACGACTTACAAGATATCAAAAACCATTCTGTGGGAAATATTTAATCAAATATCAACTCCCTAGCATAAAAGTAAATCTTATTTCTGATTTTTAGCAATTCCTTTCTTCCTCCTGTTCCTACCCTCTATAACTGGTAGAGCAGCAGCATATTCACTAAAATATTATTTTCCTTTATTTTTCCAGTCCAAATCTCAACTACGCAGTGGAGGTTTTTCCACCTACCTATACCCATAAAATGCAGCATTGCTTGCAAATTTTGCTGGGGAGAGCTAGGGGTCAGGGACGAGGTGCTTCAAAAGAACACTACAGAAAAGTTTGTCTGCCTTGCATCGATATGTACTACAGCTGGCTGCAGCTGCTGCTGTTTCTCTCTTTAGCTTTGGTTAAATTTCAGTTCTCAAGCACATGTAAAATTTAAATTTAAGCTAGAAACTAAATTGCCAGGCCCCTCCAAATACCCCACATCCAGCTGCATAACAGAATGGAAAAAAATGGGAGACTGGGGAGAGAGAAGGGGACAGGAAACTCAGTGGGAACCTATAAAGGGTAAAGTCAGCCATGCCTGAAGTTCGCTCTTCCATCCTGGAGCTATTTCTCTCCTTGTTACAGATAGGTTGTGAATGACGTATCTGATGCAAAACTGCCCAAGTCAAGACAGGTAGACAAGACAGGAAATACTGTTACATTTTGGTTGAAATATTCACTGGTATCAAATGATCCTGAAGTAGACTGAAAAGGCTAATTTTCTGAAAGGGTTGACAACCTACTGCCTGCAACACGTTTCCACTAAGATAACTCCTGCTGTGCTCCTGGTGGCCCTTCTATGTAGACATTGCTATATTCACCATTAATGAAACAAGAATGCCTGAAGTCCTGACCTTGATGAGACTTTTGTAAGCAACATTAGTGGTTTAGCTTTTATCTATAGCAATCAGAAATACCATCCATATGTACATTCCACATTTTATACGAAAGAGAAGCCTCTGGACTCTTCCTTCAGCCTACTTTTTACATTCAGACAAACAAACTTACTAATAGAAAACTTCATCTGTTATGCATACAGACTTAAGAACAAAAATACTGGATTTTAATAGTTCCTAAAAAGGCATCGTTTTGTTCAAATTGGAGGTCGAGCAGCAGTAGAAGTAGATTATGTTGCATCTGTTCTCATTCCTTTTATCTCCCTCTCTCTACTGTAGAGTATCTTCTATTATAAATACCAGGTTTCTGTCTACCCTTAACACCAGATATTCAAGAGTTCCAGATAGAACCTATAACCTCTTGGCTGTCAACAAATGAGAACAACATTGGGAACATGCAACTTACAGTCAACATTCCACTTGATGCTTCTTGGTGGGAGTTTAAGTGTTTCATTGATCTTTTCAAGAACTGTCTGTAGCTTCTGTTTCTGAGCAATTTCAGACTGTGTAACTTCAGCAACATTCAGCTTTTCACTTTCAAGTTTCTCTGAGTGATTGTAGAAGAAAAAAAAAAGCAGTCAGTTAACTCTATGAGAAATGCGAAGACATTCCACGCACACAGACATACGTTCAGGAGATATGAGACATTTTGGTTTTAAAACAGCTGGTTCTCCCAGCCTTTCCTTCCAGAGCCACTTTCTTCTGCACTTCCTCTACAGATACAGTCCACATTTTCCCTTTATCTCCCCATTGCCAGGGGAAAAGCAAAGTATTAATAGAAGCCACGGTACCAAACAGTAAAGACCTATTGCAACTCCCTTTAGTACGTATTAAACTAGAAGGTAAGTGCCTTTACTTCTGTTACTACTGGATGAAGTGAATTCTCCACGCTAGCTGGCTGAAAACGACTTGTTTCACCACTTCCACTCTTACTGCTTCTCCCTCAGTCTCTAGAGATTTACAGACAGTACTTGGTTCACTTGTGATAAAAGTGAAGTGATATCACATTTACATAGGTGAAAGATGCACCCTACATGCAAACAAGTATCTTTAGAGGCTTAAAAGCAACTAAAACCATGGACAATTCTTATCTATTAAACAATAAGCCCTCTTCTGCACTCAAAATTTAGAACAAATTTTAAAACATTTTATGAACTAGTTTATTAAAAATGGGTACAGATTGCTGGGCTTATATAAACATGACTTTGCTTGTTTGAACCGTATTTAATCAAAATCAGTAAAAGTCTGGTATGAACTGTGTCCACACGTTACTTTTCTTGTTTAGACATATCATTCAAGAGGAAATGAGTTTGTTAAATAACTGAGAGCATGAACGTTTCAGTTAACTGAGGACAGATTAAGATGTGCAAGACGAAATTGGGTAACCTGCCTGGAACATGAAAAACACCTAAAAGTAAGTGATGTTTGTCCTAATTCAAGAGTAGCAGCTCCATGGATTTAACGGATATCTGAGTGAAAAGATAAACAACGTTCATTATTATTACCTAGAAAGCCAATGTTTGCTAATGCTTTTGTGTAACTGTCGGGAATCTCACAACCATTAACAGTAAGTGAAGAAAATTTAGCAATAAAGCCTCCCTGACAACAACACAGAAATAAAACACTGTTCTCCTATGAATGTGCTTCTACAAAAGAATATATTATTAAGCTTTGTAAGAGTTGATCTTGTTCTCAGATCAGCTGAATATCTTCCCAAACATAGTGAGGCTGAACTACTAGCATATGAATGCTGCCTAGAAGGTCTTTTAGGGTTTCTTTTTTCAGCTTTGTGTGAAGTCACTGGAGGTCTGCCCATGAGAATCAATTTGCCCAGTCTGGGCTCTATCCATTCTACTGCAATGTATGTATTCAATAGCACAGTCATTCATAGAGGCAAACAGTCTATATAGCCTTTATTGGAAGTGCTCACATGATGTTTCAAGATTGTTTTAAGACACTGAAAAGAAATTTACTAGACACTTTGTGAGCTGTAATAACTAAGAAAGTGGCTTCCAAGCCAAAAGCTAAAAATCACATGCCAGCTCTGCAGTAACGGCCTCTTTTTGCTATCTCTCTCTTAGCTGAAGCTCAGTTTGCAGTCCACTGAGCATCATTACTTAGTAACATTAAGGGCCAGACATCAAATTAGAAAAAATCCAGCTTTCCAGAGGAACTTCAAGGTGTGAATATACTAGTGTGGAAGTAAATAGTATGGAACCAGCACAGATTAAAAACATCCACCATTGTACTTAAAATATCCTTACTTCCAAACTTACTTTCCACTTGTAATATGGTAATGCTTGTACAGCACATATGCAGAAAATAAATATAATTGGAGTGAATTCTGCTGCCAAGACCAGAACCCTCCCCTCTCTAGCCCCGCAGGTAGGATTTACACTGTTCTCACCAACTAGAGAGCACCACACATCGCACTGTAGCTATGAGGATCGTGCTTCCTCTGTACTGCAGCTTGCAGCTTATTGCTCAAGAGTCTCATAATACACTGCTATTTTTACATCACTTAGAACTCTTGGTATCATCTTACATTTATCCCACTAAGTAGGAACAAGTGATCCACTTACTGACAAAGTACCCCAACAGCATGCATATATATTTTTTCTTACCAAATAATTTCTGCAATACTTGTCCGTCATACAAGTCTTCAGCCAAGTCTTTCACAATAATCCTCTCTCCTACCAACACATCATTAATCCAGTCAATTAATACCTATATGGGAAACAAATTTGGCAGAATTATACACTATTCATTTGCAATTTAAAACACATGTCATTTTGTACAACGATGAACAAACTTAGCAAAAAGAATACCAAAGCTGCAATGATTCAAAACACAGGCAGTCTGAAATGCCATCAGATAAAATCAGTAAGGATTTAGGTTTATAAGGTGGTAAGAAGTATGTGCTGTTTACACCAACAGTTTTGTCTGCAACAAAGGTATATGACCAAATTTCTACACCTGAATACAATATTGATGCAGTAGTTTAAGTGAAATTTGTACTTTTAGTTCAGTAGTATGTTAATATTTCATTGGGAGGTCAAATAAATTGAAGTCATTTCTAATGAAGGTTCTTGCAGAAGTCCCAAAAGCAAAGAAGCCCCGAAAAGCAAAAAGAAGATGGCATGAATTTAGATGGCATGAACGGGATACGTTCCCAATGTTCCCAAAAAAATGACTTTGAAGTGCTCAGTGAAACAGGCAATGACTCCATTAAAAAGTGTTTCACTTTCTTGAAAGTTTTTACATGCTTTTCATTACCTTCATTAGTTCTTGTAATTTTGGGTCATTTCTGGAATTTGGATCAACCATTGTTCGGACTTCATTTTCCTCTGTAAGGTTTAAAAGATAGATATTAGAAACTATTACAGGCATAACGCTTTATTTTACATCAAGCCTTTACGTAGAGATGTAAAATTGTTATGAATTACCTAGCATAGTGTCCTCAGGGTCTAGTTCGAATGGAATTGGACTCAGAGGTAAGTTAATGGCATTCATTCCTTCTTCCTGTAATTCAGATACTAGCGGAAAAAAAAAAAAAAAAAAAAAGCTTGGTCAAATTTCACTTCAACTTTACTTACTATTTCACTCTTGCTAAAAATAGCATTAATTGCGATAATTTCTCTAATAGAAACATGACTATTAGATAAGCTAGTAAGTATAATTACAGCAATAAAATATAGCTAATATGGGAGACCCAGTCAAACAAATCTTTACCTCTAAAAGTAGCTTCTACATGGGAAATGGTACAGAAGTCAATACAATTTCTTTCAAGTCTTTTCAGGATAAGCTCCATTGCTCCTCAAATCTTAAAATATTCACATTTTAATGATCTCATCACTTAAAAACCAAACCATTTTAGATGAAACAATTACTCCTCTCAGCTATGTCACCAATGTTCTTAAGACGCCTCAAGCTTCACTGTTTAAGATGGCCTGGGTTTAGCTGTGCATCTGCAAGGGACCAGTCAGAGTGACTATTTCAGCCTGTAGGTGCAGCCATAGCTCACACTACTCTGGGAGACTGCTCCCTCCTTCACTCAGGTCAGAGACCTCAGAGCAGACTACAGATTGTTGTCAGTGGGAGTTTTTGAGTTTTCTTGGGCAGAAACCATGGCAGTGGGACATTGGGAAGATAATGAATCCTCAAAAGTCCTGCCTCTGCATGCACTCCAGACATCAGCCACAAAAGAACTTGCACATGGGAACAGGGAAATAATCCAAAATCCCACCATTTGAACATGTCCACAGTTGTCACAAATTATCACCCTAATTCCCCTAATGCTGCAAAAAGCAACATCCTAATGATGCAGGCTCCGTGAGCAGTAGGAATGGAGAAATCCAGAAGTGGTCTAAAATAATCCTGCCACTAGTTCTGCACTGCACAGCTTCTCTACCTCCTACGGTTTGCAGCAGTTCCGTTCATGCCACCAGATGACCCCATTTTTTTACAAGCCGCAAAGACGGAGCGATGCCTGCCCTGCCCAAGCAGCTTTCTCTAACAGGAGAGAATCAACACAAGCACCACGGCTACGGACACTACTGCACATTGTGCACTGCACAGGGAGAGTATGGGCTTCAGTGACTGGGCAGATTTGCAACTGCTTTGTAACCAAGGAGTCAGTATAAACCTGATACACAGAACCCGAAAAGAGGCTCCACTGTCTTCTGAATGATAAACAATTTGGTCTGTAGCATTCACCTTCCAGCATACAGATTTTCAAAATAACTGGTGGTTAGCACACCTATTATTTAAACTTAAATAACTTAATGAATCAAAATACATGGTTTACAGGACATACATGCATTTCAGATTCACTATCTGAAAATGACCAGCCTTTCTCCATTTATTTTGGGGGGGAAAAAAAAAAGTAAAAAGTAGAAAGTGACAGCAGAGATTCTGTGTTTTGCTCCCAGCCCTATGACTGCCTTGTAATTTAGCTCTCTCCCTTAGCTTCATGTGTGCAATAAAAATAGCTCAATTTCACATGGTAATGATCATTAGTTAGTGTGATAACAGTACTTAAAACTTCCCAGATATTTCCTATGCTTTGTGAAAACGCTCTGCCAGATGAAATGCCTATACACATCTTAAGAGTCTGTGTAGCAGTTCTCATCTCATCTATGCAACATTCTTAGCAATAATTAATGCCTGTTAGAATGCTTACTGTTTTTAATTGCATAAAACAACTTTGAAAAGTCCACTACCTTCCATACTAACCTTGTTCCATACACTCATCCTGCTTATGTATCTCTAAAGCACAATTACTGAGCAGCTGTAAAGAGCAATAAAATAATGTTGACAATAATAGTTCCCTGGATTGTTATATATCCTCTAGAACTGAAGGCTGAAAGCAATGGACCAAATTAATCCCTCATGTAACTCCCTCAAGTTCTGAGGAGTTACAGCAAGAATGAATTTGGTCTAGCATGCACAATCTCAGGAACTGTTTACACTTAATGGCAAATTTTTGAACTGCTAGCACTCCCTAGAGAAAATTATTGTTGGTTTTATTATCCTCTTTGATTCTTTATTTATTTATTTTTAGGAGGGTTCAAAATTGTTATGGACATAAAAAAACATAGTGGACAGAAAACTTCCTTATGGGGGTCTTTCTGTTCTGAAATCTTATAGAAGAAAGATTCCTAAGCAAAAAAAACTTTTTAACATCAGTCCCAGGAGGGAGTATAGTAAATAAAATCTGTTCAAGCTAGATGGCTCCACTGTGGTCTGCTGTCCCAAAGGGCTGGATGCTCAGCTTGGGCAGGACCCACCGGAGGAAAGGGTCAGCTCATTGTCCTAGTGAAGGATAGTCACGGAAAGCTTTTGGCTCCTATCTCCAGGAGGAGACCTGATGGCAGAGCTTGCCAAGACTTCTCCAGGGAGACTGAGTGGACATTACAAAGATGAGTTCTTTATAAGGCCTTCTTTACAAGGCAGGTGCCCATTGAAATTCTCTATTTTTGTCTTCTAATGCACATGGCAACTAAATATCACTTTTAAAAACAGCACCATCACTGTATTTATCACATTCCTGTGAAAAGGGGAAACAAACAAAGAATATGTGATCAAAGAAACACATACATTCTCCCCAATCCCCGATTTTTAATCACATTATCAAGTAAACAATTCATATTTTTGGGTGTGAAACAAAAACATTAAATCTAAACAAAACTCCATTAAAATACATCAATTCAATATAATCAATCTGTTCTGGCACATGCTGTATCTGTGCAGTACAAGTTGCTCCCCGCTTTTGGTAGGCAGGCAGTGATGTTGTTGGCCCGAGCTCCTGCTCTAGCCACGTGCAGATTCCACCCAATCCAGAGCACAGCTCTCAAGGACTGAGGAGCCCAGGTGGACCCCAGCTGCCAGACAGAGAGGTCAGAAAAGCTCCCTGCTCTCTGCCCTCAATGCAGAATTCTGCAGCGCGCAAAATTCTCCAGGTTGATGCTAGTCCTGCCACAGACTCCTTCTGCCCTGTCCCCAGCATGCTGGGGAAACCCTGAGCCCGAGAGCATCTTTTGCATTTCTTTCCCAGAACAGAAAAGGAAAGATTTTGCCACCAACTAATAACCTATTAAGTGCACCAGGTATATCAAGCTCTATACAAGGAGAAAGAAAATATATTATGTAATATCGCCAGAGATTTCTAAGAATTTCCATGACAAACCACTACACTTAGCTTTTTACAGGGGAACCACAAAAGCGTGATTGACGTTATGAGTTTGCATACCAGTTTCAGCAGAAGAATCCATTTTTCAACTGCTTTTCATTCATTTTAATTAATTTTCTAAAACTCAAATCTTGTACTTTACTAAAAACAAAGTACACAGGTTTTGGGAGACCTTTTGCAGCTGCTGAAATTAAAAGAACATCCTCTCATGTCTCGAAGGACTTTGAAGAATGACTTACAACATCAGCAGGTGTCTTAAGAGTATAAAAACTCAGGAAGAGAAGAGGGTATGTGCCTATGGCAGGTATGTCCAGGAGGAAGAGTTACCCTGTGAGACCTGCAAAAGGATAGCCAAAGGAGCATGTCCCCAAGGATGTCTGCTCCTTGCCAGGGCTCCCCAGCCACAGGACGCCCCCTGCAGCAGAGAAAGGCATCTTCCTTCTCTGCGGCTGCAGCCAAGATGCAACCAGTGTATGGAGTACCATGAGGCCAGTTATCCTTTGTGCTTAATCTGGCTTAATCAGGGGCTTTATACCTTCAGACCTGAGACAAAAACTCAGCCCTAAAGTTTTTTACAACCACTAGGCTGAGTGGAATTGAGGGTTGAATGTACTTTTAATGCAAGATCCTTAAAAGCAGTGGGAGTTGCACACAGCACTAACAAGTCTTTGTGCACTGGCAATGTGGAAATCCTAATTTTAACTCTGGCTAAGGAACAGATACTTTCCCTGTCAGACTTCTGATTAATCTCCATTTGCCAAATTTGTTATGATGTGATCAAGTGCAACTCCATTGACATCAGCTGTCAACAGACTTCCTCGTATCATGCCAGCACTAGATTTGGCCCCGGAGCTGGGGAGTCCACAAACTTATCAGTAGCTACTTTATGCTGGACATAGTAGCTACTTTATGCTGGACAGGGTTCTTACTCTTTCCTATAATCTAGGACTGCAAGGTCATAAACCTACACTATCAAATGAATGTGGGTGCTAGGAGCCAAACTTTATCCTTCGATGGTGGCATCCAACTATCCAACAACTATCAATGCTGTTGGAAGTTGAGCACATCTGAAAGGCGACTGCTGCCCATACTATTTAAATTGGCTTAATTCCTCTAGTACATGCAGCCTGTTGCTCCACATTGTATTTATTAGACAGTTTCATTTGGGTTTTTTACTTGTTTATTTTTTCTGTTGAAAGCTTTGTCCTGCCCTGTTTAGTATTCAGGGCTTAATAACATTCTGATTTGAGTAAAAACACATCTTCTAGTTTAACTGAGTCCAGAAATACCACATCAACCAATGTACTCTGTGGCTTATATGTATTTTATCATATCTGTCTAAATAATAGTTAGACAGATTAGGCAAGATGCAGTGTTAAATGGTCTCCTTGAGAATTACACCGTGTATTTCTACATCACTGATTCTGTAATTAAAATTAAACCACTCGTGCTACAATTCCAATAGGTCAATTCTGTAAATTTGTGATTATATAGAAGGTTGAACATTAATGCTGGAAGAGCACAGTGATACAATATTTTTAAGTCCAGTCTTTTACTGTCACTTATTTTTTAACTTCAGTTAAAAATTTAAATACACACACACTCACACACATATATACATACTTAAGTATACTTATGTATATACACACTTTTGCATTTCTTTAAATATGCCTTATATAAATCCATTCAAGATCTCCATTTTTAAGTCTACAAATACTTTCTTTTCCTTGTAGAAGTTGATAGTTGGAGATATCCTCAAGACTCCAGAAATTTGAGCTTTACATAAAAAATTAAAAGAAAAACTACCTGTTATTGTAAACTACCTAGCAGACAAAATCTTTATGC